TTTAGTTCACAATAATGTCACTATGCTGCTCACACCAAAGCCTCACACCAAAGTTTTTATCTCTAACAGCTACATCAGATATTTTGTCCTAGTTTTTCTGCAGGTCATTGCTGATAAGGTATAAAGTAAAAAAAAACCCCAACAACCCAACCAAACCCCAACAATCCTCCATTCAGTTATATTTTTAATGTAAAAGTTTTGTTACTCCATCAGTGTGACTTTGCAAGCTCCTCCCAATCTTCCAGTGACTTCTGCCAGCCGTCACAGAGCAATTCTCTATCTGGAATATAGGAAATGTTTCTGCAACCAACAAATGAAGTTAAAATATTATGTTCCTTCCAGGAATTCTGCCTTGACATGCTGCTTGGCTGAACATCTTCAATCCTTCAAGGTTTTCCTCATACTTTTTTGAACATATATGTTAAAGGGTGGGGGACAGCATGGCCAAGGGCTAAGGAGAGGACAGGCAGCAGGCAGGGCTGGCTTCTTGCTGGTGCTCTGCTGCTCCTGTGAAGTAATGCCTCAATTTCTTGAAAATTAACAATTTGTTAAAATCCCAATAATAGCAAAAAGGAAAAAGAAAGTTCTGATTTAGGGAAAAACATCTGAAGTTTGAGGATGTTTCTCCCCTATGTTACTTTTCCTTTGATTTCAGGCATCTTTCGCAGGATGAACAAGTGGAGCAAAATTCTTACCTGGCTGAAGGAGAGAGGAAGTTTTACAGAGAAATTCTTGTTTACGTGGTTTAGCATAAAGTCAGCAGATCTCTGTTTCAAAAATGGCAGTGCACTGGGATTTATTATTCAGAATAAGGAGGGAAAAAAAGTAACATCCCGCTCTACCGTTGGCAAATTTGCAGCGAGGACCCCATTGAAAGCTGGTGGTTTACATCTCATGTAACTTGAAATAAAGGAGTCACTCACACATTCATAATCAATACAATTACTTCTACTTTACATGAATTAAGTAATTTGTATGGCATTACTGTTTGGGGCATTTGTATCCCTATTCAGAGCACTTTTTCAGTATTTCAGTCCCACTGATGGTAAAGGCAGGTGCATGCCAGTTACCCACAAAACCAAGGCAAAGCTCTATGGGGAAACTCTTTTATGTTCATCTAGATTTGAATTTGTAGTCCCTTTCCAATTACTGCGCTAATTGTTTAAGAGATTGCTAGACTAAAAAAGTTTTTAATCACTAATCTGTTTTTGAAAGGAACTTATGGGCTCAAAACCCGAACTACATACTTCTTAAATTAATTTTCTTCGTGAATACTTCTTTCTCAATACAGATTTGTGAGTCAGAACACCCTACTGTGCTTGTTTCTTTGTCTTTTCTTCAAACACCTGGCCTATTATTCTCTTTTTTTCTCCCAACAAAATCGCTCTTTCTTTGTAGGCAAGGTTCTGATGATATTATGTCACTGGAAATAAGGAAATTTACCCAACGGCCTATGGTACCAGAACTGAATTTGGAGCAGAGAACAAATTGAACAAACTTGACAATTCAGCCAAATGTGAGCCCTACAACAGAAATATTTGTCAATGTTTCCTGAAGAGATATCAATATGCTGCAGGATCTTCCAACAAAACACCTTGAAAAATTGTGACATGAAGCCAATAGGTTTAATTTGGACATAGAGGTTTTTCCTTAGTGGGATGGTGGCTGTAGAAGGTGGATGGGGTTGGGGGTGTGTTTAGATCTTCTGTGTGGCTTTGAAAATCCTCCCATATATTTTTGCTCTCAGGAAAACCAGACAAACCCAACAAAACAACCAGGACTCTAGGCCTACTTCAGTTGAAACCTGTGCAGGGAAAAAATCTTGATGTCACCCAGAGAAGATCTGGGCTGCGACCCTTCCTTATTCAGAAGAGAGGCATAGGGGCAAATCCTGCAGTCTTAATACAGATCAGTGTAGGCTTTGCCTAAATTAGGACTAAAGAACTTAGTGCACAAAGCAAGATAAAGTGTTGGGAAATAATTGCAATATTCAGTGTGAGACACTCTCTGTAAAATGGCTGACCTGTTTAGGATGTGGGAGGCTGCACACCCCATTGCCCTGAGAAAAACTAGGAAGCAAATGTCCTGGCTTGGTTCATGGCAAAGCTGTTGACCCACGTGCAGCTATGAAATTAGGCTGAAGGTTTTTCAGTTAATTGCTCCTCAACATTTTTAAAATGTAATTTTAATACTGTGTCCATAATAGATGGTAATTAAGCCTCTTGATTTAAATTTAAAACATACTGAATAAGTAAATCTTCTTCCCTTGGTGTGATATTTCATTGTAAGATGGTAATAATTAACATGAAAAGCTTTCTGAGTTTTGGTTACAGACACACTGATTCCTAAGCTGATTTCAAGTGTTGCCCTGCATATTTATTTTCATAATATCATTAGCTCTCACAGCTGGATTTCAATTCACACGAAAGAATGGAAATTTCTTGGAAGGACCCATTAAAGCAGAAAAAATGAAATCAGCTTAAAGAAAACCTCTCTGCACTTCAAACTAAAACCAGATGAAACATCAATAAGCTATATTCTCTACCTGTACCCATTGGGAACTGCTGGTGATTGGAGACACTGTCTTCCATGCAGACAGCACAGGACTGACAGCTCCCATTTAATCAGGAACAAGGAGCAGGGGGTGTCTTGGAAGAAAGGTGCCCTCTTGTAAGGAGAATTAGGACAGAGCAACAACCAGTCAAAACTGGCAAGGGTTTAGGAGCCAGCCCTGCTGTCCAGCCCTACAGTTCCCAGTGGTGCTGCAGTGGCTGTGTGTGCTGGGTGGAGGTAGCAGCTCCCAGCTCTGGCAGGAGCTGTCATGCACATGAGTGAAGTTACTTTGCAGTTGTGTGTTTAATTGCTGTTCCTGAAATTATTTCTATCCGTAGCTATTGGAAAAATTTTGTTGATAGATGAAAGTTATCTTTGATGTAACTGCTGAAATTTAGCTTGTGAATTTGATCCACTCACATGCCTGAGTGTGATCTCTGTGCCCTGTAGTCAGTAATGAAGATTTTAGTGATTACATAGGACCTACTATTTCATGCAATGTATTAAAACAACCTTCAGCTGTTATTTTTCACTTTATACTTCCAGTGAATTTTGTCTAGGAATTTGGCAAAAATACCTGGGTTTTGTTATTATTGCAGAGTTCTTTTCTCAGTGGCTCATGGCAAATGCAGGACAGTTTCTGCTACTTTAAATGAAACAGTGAGAGAGTCTATTTTCCTGCAGAACCTCTTTGCATTGCAAGAGCCAGACACTGGTGGTAAGGAAAGATGCCACAGAACAGGAGTTGTGTAATGACAGTTTTCAAGCCATTAACCTACTTAAAAGGTTAATTTGGAACAAACTCAGTGCTTGAATGGATACCGTGTTGTGCTGCCAGTTGGCAGCCTGGGCCATGAGAGTGGACTGGTGGAAGCAAATAGCTGTTGTGGAAGAAACACACTTAAACTTTGTGTGAGAGGTCCTGGTTACATCACTTCCCCAGCCTCCTGCTGCTCCATGCACAAGCACAGCCTCAGTGCTACTCGGGTGGGAAGCTGGCTTTTCCTAACAGTGAAATGCCACCACCTTCTCCTACCTGTGAGGTCTACAAACCCAGAAATACTTCCACTGTTTTGGTAGGTTGTGACTCAAGAGCAGCCCAAGCAGTGAGTATTTCAGAGGAAATGGAAAACTGCCTTCTCTGTCATGTACCCAAGTACAAGCTTGGCAAAGTCTCCAGAAGCAGCAGTGAGGTAGCTGGAGCTCTGCACCTCAACCTGTAGTCTTAAAAATAGTCCCAGAGCTGCCTGGAGAAACAAGTTCTAAAATATACAAAATCTTTTCAGTGTAAATGTATTTGAGGATGGTTTTGAGGAATGAGGCAGCACCAGTGGAGGAGTTCAATACTGTCCCATCAACCCACAGAAAGAGAGCTTGCTTGGACCTCAGCTAGAGGTGTGGGAAAGGTGATCTCCATGTGCAACCAGCTATTGGCCTTTCTTTTGTAACTGCTAAGCAACAATTAGCACTTGTATAACTCTGCCATTTGCACAGTGTCATGTTTGTTTAATCAGTCCTCACAACAGCCCTGTGAGGTAGGCGAGAAAGCTGCAAAAGGAGGATACTACTTATCCTCACTTTACACTAAAGCATCAGACCTGTAGAGAGTTGTTCTCAGTCCCATGTCCTGGATGGAGAAATTCAGCAAAGACTTTAAAACGACCTGTCTTGAGGCCAGAGAGGAATCCAGGATTTTGAAGACTGTAGACACTTACTCAGTCAAGACTCAGTTTTCACTCATTCCAACATCAGTCCAAGGAAGAATTTAACACTTCACATTTAGTTTTCACTTAAATTCTGAACCTACTCAAGGCATGAAATGTCTCAAAATGTACAAGTAATCTGTTAACTTACTGGTCTTGTAAGATGTGCCAGAAATCTTGCTATAAGTATTCAGCAACTTCATATTTACAGCTCTGAGCTACTGATTGACAAGTATGTACATACACGGAGAACTACACACAATTTGCTGCACACTGATCACCTACTTCCACAGATACAGTTTTCATATACAAAGGTTAAACTTTTTAAACTATTAAAACATTGCCACCCTGAACATAAAGCAAACTTTTTTTAAAAATTCGAAACAAGGTACTCTTTGTACAAACCTAGTTCTGAATCAAAAGGCCATACTGAAAACAGTCCCCATCTCATTCCTGCTAAGTCTGTCTAGAATGCAATATTTCACTGGCATTTGCACTTCAACATGAAGCATGGTCTCCAAGTTAATAACTGTGTAGAGATTCTTACATCTCAAGTACTGCATGTAAGAGTTCCTCCTGAGAAGTAAGTTAAGAATTGCTTAGAAAACTGCTTATTTCTACAAAGAATTTGGAACCTTTGGACTAGCATCTGGTGAGTCTGGTGATTTCAAAGCTTCAGATTCATGCTGGCCTGATTTACAAAGAAGAGATAGTTCCTGTTTCTGTTTCTGCAGTGTGAGAAATTATACAAGCCAACTTACTACCTGATTTAATGTTGTAATGAAGGAAACCCATCTTTAGCAGGGTTATTCCTTTCAGTCCGTTACTGAAGATACAGGAACTACAGCTCTGCGTGTGTGTGTGTTTTCTTTTTTTTTTAAACGTGTCTCTCTAACGAGAGCTACTTATTGGAGAAGGCATTCACTTCCCCCTCCGTGGCTGTAGTCTGTGGGAGAGCTCCTAACAAAGTTCTTTGTTAGTGTTTGTAAGACTGGAGATGAGGTTTAATTGAGGGATTTGTGCTGAATGTTCTTTCGCTTTGAGTCTTAGTGCTGCAATGCTTGACGTTTTCCTTTCAACTGCTGCTGGATCAGTGAAGGCAGTAAGAGCAGGGTCTGACGGGGGTCCAGGAGCTTTCATTAGCACTGAAGCTGTTGTCACGAGAGGATTTAAAGCATTGAGAAACCTGTATTTGAAAGAAGTCAATATTATCCAAATTAAGAATTGTTTTGGAGAACAAGTACTTACTGAGTTGCAGCTTCCCCCACCCAAAGTATTAGAAAAAAATGTGCCAAAATTTCCAATTTCTTCCACGTATACATTTTGTTTTAGCTTGATTTTGCAGCATAGTCTCTTGCCTTTAAAAAAACCAAACCAAACCAAAACCAACCAGAAACCCCCACCCTAAATAAAAAACCAAAACACTTTTAAATAAAATGAAAAAGAGATGATCAGACGTGGCATGCAGATACCTAGAACAGCATTTGCTTAACTCCTCATGCTAAATCCTTTCTAAACAAACCTGAGATGCTGCAGATCAGCCTGTTCTCTGAAAGCAATAAACCATCTCATAAAAAGACCAATTTATATGGCTGTTTATGCAGCCAATTTGTTCAGATCAACTGATTCCATGTGAAAAGCAGCATTTGTTTGTCTGTAATTGTGGAACTACCATACAAGCTCCAATTTCAGCAAGAGTGCTGTCTTCTGTTTTTATAAATATTTTTATATTTTAAAAATATATATATATCTACATACCTATTACATGTATACACATACACTATATACATGCTTTTTTCCTATTTTATGGGGTACACTAGAGCAGCAGTAGCATTTTGTTAATAAATTTCAGGTTGCCAGGCAAGAAAGCCCAGACAGCAGGTTCAGCCAAAATGAATTGCTGGGGTGTCTGACTACAGAGAAAGAAAAGGAGACTGGCTGTGGGCTCGTTCTGCGTGCTGAGAGCACATCACCTGCCAAGGGAAATGGGCTGGCTTTTAGTGGGACATGTAAGAGTCAGGAAGATCTCTCTCAATCTCTCTCTCTCCAGCTGTGTCTCTATACACAGCCAGACCCCTAGTCTTCTGAGAAGAAATGTTAAATACCATTATTCTGTCAAATCACCTACACACCATGTCTGCCTGCAGCCACATCTTTATGGTGTATAACCTGAGTTAGCCTGAGATAAGGATGAAGCTGCAGCCACCCAGGTCACAGCAGTCTGTGTGAAGACTAGAGTTCAGTGAGACCAAAATTGCAGTAAGTATGCACAACTGGTCTTCAAAAAACAATTACATGTTAATTTTTTACTAGCATGACAAACTTAAATCTTGCTATTCCTAATCAAGCTATCCTACATGGGAACTAACCCATTTTATTAAGTTTATTTCTCTATGGGAACACATTTATTGAGAACATGTGAGTATGAAACTAAAAAAAAATGCAGCATTTTTTAACAGTTTAGAGATTTAGAAAAAAAAATTGGTTCTGTACCTTCCAAAATGTGGATTTAAAATAGGATTTCTGAAGAGAGAAGTCCAGGTAAGGCTGTTGAGGCCAAATGGCCCTAAGGTTGAAGGACTAAAAGCTGGAGACATGGATGGCACAGCCAATGTAGAAAGAGGCATTGACCTCCACGTGGGATCTAGGAGGGGAGAATGACTCAGTGGAACATCCAAAAATAGACCAAGTGGGTGTGTTAAGGAGATTCCTGGAACAGTCCCCAGAATTTCATTTTTTTCACGTTTTCTCCACTTTGCCCTTCTGTTTTGGAACCAGACCTTCAGTAAAAAAATTATAAAGGCATTAGATGAACTTACTCTGTAGCTTGTCTTACCAGATACTACTGCATGCATTGATGCAGGTAGCAAAATATTTACTGTTAAACCAAACCCCCCTTCCTTTAATACAAAAGATCCATTCATAAATGCCTTAGTGGGTTTATTAAACAAATAAATCACTTGCAAGTATTGTAAATTTGACTACTCACATATGTTTTAAAGCCATTGTAATACCTATCACCTGAAAACTCATGAGCAGTTATTAAAAATTATCATTCTCCCGTTCATAAGCTATTTATTGAAAGTTAAACTTCAACAAAGCCATTCCAGAGGTGGCTATTTCTGTACAGATACCTCAGGAAGCAACTTAATCATGACTGTAAGAGTAACTAGGCCAAACATATATGTGCTTTTTATCTTGGTAGCTGCATCATACAGTTTTATGTAGAGAATTCAAAAGTAAAATGAGAACTTTTGCTACCTACCGTGAATGCAAACAGCACATGAAAGTGATTAACTGAATTGCACTGAAAGCCAATCCTAAACTAGAAAATCTAGTAAGCAGTATTGGAACAGAGTATCAAGATGTTTCTAAAAGGGCTTTAGCTACTATTAGGTTTGTGTAGTATGCTGGTATGTTGCCTCTTCAAGCCTGACTAGTCATTACTTTAGCCCATTAAACATCTTTTAAAGACTTTAGTCAACTGAATCTACAGATCAGAAAACTGAGGCTTCACACTGTTATTCTTTAGCATTCACTGAGCAGAACGTTCAGACTCAGGATGGCAGCAAAGAGGAGTGAAGGGTATCAGCTCTGAAGTGAGGGAGAGAGAATCTAAATCGAGGATATATAAAAATGCCAAAAATGTGAACACAAAAGATGTTGAACACTCAACATCCAAATGAAACTCAGCAGCTCAGGTTCCTCCAGCCCCCTCAGCAGTGGAGGTTGTTGGAGGTGGATTCTGAACTGGATCTGGATTTGGAAGACAGGCATTAGCTGTGGCCCATAATCTCATTCAGCAGTCTGGTATATAACTACTGTTGCAATTCAGTGAGCTGCTTGCAAGCACCTCCTATGTATAAAACTTGAATGCACTAATCAGGATTCAATACTATAAATAATAATGATAAATAGAGAGTGGTAACAGAAGGAAGAAGAGTTGTTTGAAAGGCCAATTTGTGTCCTGGATAAAATTATGACTCTCTAAAATTTACTTCTGATTTACAGCAAAGGTAAACTTCAAATATGAGGGTCTTTTACCATAATAATGTAGATGACTTCTTAATAAGAATCTATCAGGCCACTAAAGCAAACTAAAATCATAAAATTAAACTGCAAAAATTCAAGTATCAAAAAAATTACATGTTCTAAAAGTAGTTATTACTCTGATATTGGTATTTCTGAAATAGTAAAATTCTATAGAAATCTGTATTATGACTTTGGAAGCAGCAGTTTTACAGATGCATGCTTTTTCAATAGTTTCTTTTTGTATCCTCAATTACATTTCAGCCAAAAAAATGTTTTCAAAGAGTTTTAAATAACAGCTAAAAATCAGGTTTTTGGGGGTCCCGGTTTCGCTGTTTGCTTTATCTCAGACATGCCATATAACCATTTCCAGAAATGGGACTTACCTTCAGGTGCTCAAAAATAACATGAAGTGTGTTTGGAGGGAAGGCCCTTCACACACTGCAGCAGGTCCAACCTTTGTGTCCCTCTGTCAGTAACAACTGCCTCCTTCGAAGGACTCGCCCTGGGGTTTTCAGGAGCCAGCTGAAGGACTACTGCTCTACTCCTTTCAATGCATCTGGTATCTTTACACTGTGAGCTGCTGTTCTCCTGGAGGAGGGATTTATATCCCTTGGGTTACATATATAACTGTCTTGCTGCACAAGCAGTGGGCAGAGGGAGATGTCTTTAGCAGAAAAGTCAGAACATCAAAATTGTGATGCTGTTACTTAAAATTCTTGAGTGCTTTGACTCATTCTTCGGTCCTTTCTCCAGCAGCCCATGGCTTTCAGTGGTCAGATGTCTTACAAAGGAATATCTGAACCCCTGAAATGCCAGGCAGCTGTGCCCGTGTGACAGGGAGGACACTTGGTCTGTATTAGTCCAACACAGGGGGGTGGTAAGAAAAAAAACACCTCAATTACTGAGATCAGATGACTTTAAATCACTATTAACCAGTAATCCTAAATATTTTTAAGTGGAGCTTAGCTAAGATCTCATAGCAGAAGATCAACTCAAAGGTGTTAGTGTTTTCTGTGAAAATAAAGTCCAGTTGAAAAGGCAGTGAACTGTCTCGCACTGCAGCTATGCAGATACAGCCTTTCCTAAAAAGGATAAATGCTGCCAAGGTGTACATGACCTTACTAAATCTTAGCACTGTTCTTCAATCTGTTCTTGATAAAGAAGCCTAACACAAAATGAGATATCTGCTTTCCTGCTTTCTCTGCCTAAAGGAAATCCATTTGATCACTGCAGTGCAGACGTGCACTCTAACTACAAAATAATTTTTTTAATGTTACAGGTAATTTCGCGCTTAAAACCAAACCTTAGTCATCTTTCAGATTTTTTATTTATCAAACTGGAAGGAAATGCCAGCATACATATCTAATAATTACCTTTAGAAAAAGGCTGGCTTTCAGTTTCTTAGTGGTACAAACATCAATGCAAGTGGTAATAGAAGAGCAGATCCACACCTCATACCTCATACTGACGTGAGAAACAGCTTTCAAAATCTACTGCATACATTATAGTCACTAACATTCAGATTAGTCATCTTGAACCTTTTGTTAAGTGGTTTTCCTTTGCTTCAAATAAAAGGCTTAAGTTGCCTTTACTCTGTTTTCAGACACATCTCAAGTGCCAAACTAACTGTAACAGAAACTGCTATACCAGTCTTAAGATTTTCATGGTATGACTGTAATATCAGTGGTAAAATAACTGTGGAAAAAATGCATTACTTACTACTCAAAGATGAGTTTTAAACCATCAAGTTTGAATTGTATGCTAAATATTACCCAGATTTTATTTGCAATTACAGCATATCTGACAAGAGATTTAGGTCTTTCATAAAGGAAAAGGTGAGCATGTAAAATTTGATAGCTTTCTTGCTGTAATTTTCTTTAAAAATGTATCCTATTTAATTGATGTAATACCTAATGATGCTAAAAAGAAATAGATGTGTCTAACTGTATCGTGTTTCTGCTGCAGCTGAATAAGAGGGTTATAATGAGAAAATATGACAAGGATGCCCAGATCCATTATATCTGTAAGCTCATGTTTTAAAACTGATGCGATTTATGGTACTGAAATACCCATGGAATGTTTTACTGCTCACGTTAACAAAATAACATATTCTTTTAACTTTTGCCTGTTTTCCTCCCATCCTAACAGTACGAATTATGAGAAGCAGAATGGCAACAACAGATGCCATTGAATGCTACTGAAGAGCACCCCAACATGGCTCCAGGTTATGAAAAGGTTTTGCAGACTCTCCGACTACCCCTTTCCCAAGGTAAGGAATGCTGCCATCTCCCCTCCTCTATACAAGTAAATAATGGGGGTTGGGTGAGGGGATCTCTTTGAAGTGATGCTGGAATGAGCATATGTTCATGCAATTTTTTTTCTTATTTGTTCATTTTCATGTAAGATTCAGAATGCAAGAGGAGGAACAATGCTGTGCCTGGTACCCGTTTCAGCTGGCTGATGGAAGGCTGTCCCCAGAGAAGCAAACCTCAATTTGAAAACATACTGAGGTGAAGAAATGGTCTGACTGTATTGGGTAAGATCATTTTGTTCAGTTTACACTCAAGTAAATAAAGAGATACCAGTTTTCATGTCAACTGGTTTAGCCAGGCACCGTGGGACAGGACTGGAAGTCTTCACTTCACACGGGATGCCTTATAGAGCAATTATGAGCACAGGTACATGAGGCAGGCATTTGGGAATTAAGGTAGCTTGCTAAGTACAGTACATCACCATTGATACAGTACCTATTCCTATGCATCCCCTTCCCTCCAGGCTAAGCCCCATTTCTCGCAGGATAAGAACACATGCACTGGAGCTGAGCCACTGTGCACTGCAGGCTCACCCTAAACAACTGTGCTGACTCTGTGCTCTGGGCCCAGGAGACTTGTGTTAAGATGTGATATCTTCAGGAGGTAAGGAGGTGCCAGGAACAGCTCTCTGCTGTTCCTTCCATCCACTGTGGATGCATCAGCTCTGCTATTTCCCTTGTTAATTCCTTTTTTACTCCATCAAACATAAACATTTCAATTTCTTCTTGATGAGTCATTGAGAAAAGAGTCCCTCTTTGCCATATACCACTGCACCATTCCTTCACAGGATCTACAGAGCATGTACCCCACAAAGGGAATGTGACAATAACAGGTAAATTAACAGCTTTCCACCCATATCTTTTCAATTGTTAGATGCCATGTGTAATTGCCAGAGACTGGGCCATTTCAGTGACTGGAGGTTTTAGGGATTGTTGATGGTAGGAAGAGGAGAGGACACATAATTTCCTCCAAGTCCAAAAAAGAGAGATGAAAAGTGCATCTAGATATTCTCAGATGAGTCACTTATGAAGTACCATTCATACTTCTAAGGCCTTTTCTGAAGATGGTGCATATTAAAAAAAACCAAACTAAAGAAGTTACAATTTTACAGACATTAGCTAGTGTGAACCATCACCGATCCAGTGATTGAAGTAATGACAACGTATACAAACAAGGATCTGGCATCAACAGTAACAAAGCTACAGGAGTTAGTAGGGCTGTCACACTGAGCAGCTGTACCAGTTCTCAGTCTTTCACAAGTAGGCACAAACCCAGAGCTGTGCTGGAACAGTCAATATCTGATATACAGAACAAGCCAAATTTAGTGCAATTGTTGTTCTGAGCTTAAAAATACTTTGAAAGCCTTCACACCTTTTGAAACAACTATTATTTTTTTTTAAGGCTGTAGTTTCTGTATAAAAAGGATTTCTAGGTTATACAAGAGATGAATCTAAAGAAACTGCTTCTTAAGAGGTATTGTTAGGCAGGAGTGCACAGAGTCAGGAAAAGTTACTAAGGGTTATTTGTAGTTTAAGCAAACTGCAGGCTACAAGTCATTAGTGTCTGTCTCTGTACGATGAAGCTCTATGGGCGTTGTTACAATCACAGTCCAGCCAGGCATGAAATTTTTCTGGACAGTGCCTGACTGTCATATATGAATGTCAAATTAATCTTTCATTTGTTTTGACCAGTCATTTAGAAGTGTGACTGTTTTATGGAGCTAAGTTAGAGCAAGAAGAGGATGTAAACTTCACTGCAGCCTGGGTAAATAACTTTGGATGCCCCACAGAACCCCTCATTTGCTGTGAACCACCTGATTTATTTTTTTTTAAAAAGCTGTTTAGGCACTCAGGAGACACTACATGCCTTTAGACCCACGAAGGCGGCAGCACACGCGGGTGTGAAGCTCAACCTGGGAGCGCTCCCGAACCCTTTCCCCGCCGCGGAGGTACCGCGTCCCTTCCCCCGTCCCTTCAGCACCCCCGGCGTGGACGGGACGATCCCGGCCCCGCCCGCTATTCCTCCCTCCCGGCTGAGCACGGGGACAGCGCGCCTGTGTTTCCCCTGCTCTGAGCGCTCTCTGGGGCGTCTCTGAGCTCGCCCCCAGCCCCCAGAAGGGCCCCCCGGTGCTGCCGCGCCCGTCACTCACCTGCACCCGGGCTTCCGTCAGGTCCAGGCGCAGGGCCAGCTCCTCTCTGCGGGGCACACACGGTTAGCGCCTGGAGGCCTGGCGGCCGCCCCGCACGGCCCCCCCCGGCCCGCCCCTCCCGCTACCTGGTGAACACGTCGGGGTAGTGCGACTTGCGGAAGGCGCGCTCCAGCTCCTCCAAGCTGGAAGGTGCTGAACGGGGGGTGCGGGTAGCGCCGCTGCTTCCTCTTTCACCGGACCGGCGCCTCGGGGCCGGGCGGCGCCCCGCGCCCCTCGGCCGGCGGATCCTCCGCGGCCGGACTGCGCGCCCGGGACGGGCCGCGGCGGCACCCGAGCGCTCCGCGCCTGCGGGGAGAACCGCGGATGACCGGGGCGCGGAGCGCCCCGCCGCCCCTCACCGTTCCCACTGCCGCCGCCCGCCCGCCCCCGCGTTGCCCTCACCGCGCTGCCCCTCACCGTATGCCGGCCCGCGGCGGGGCCCCGGCCCAGGATGCTGTCGATTGAAGTAGGAGGTGAGCAGGTGCAGGGCCGGCGGGGCGGCGGGGGCCGCGCTCTGATGGGCTGCGGCCGGCGGCGGGGCAGGGCCCCCGCGCCGCTCCCGGCTTTTATGGTGGCGGGGCAGCGCCCGGCTTCCGCGCCGGCATTAGCATTTCAGTTAAGCTCGTGCTGTCAAGGCCGGGGTGGGACGCGCCGGGCCCCGCTCGCGCGCAGGGGCCGGGCCGCCTCCCCCGGGGGGCAGGGAGAGCCGCCCGTCGGGGTGCAGGCCCCGGGGCAAGGGCCGCTGCCCTTGTGTGCCCTGCCCTGCCCTGCCCTCGGGCCATTACCGACCGCTCCCGCGGGCCGCGGTAAACTTTTTCAAGGCTCCTTTCGACGGGGCGCGGGCGGCTGCCGTTGAAGTCCGATGCCTAAGGCATCAAAGTTGTGCGTTGCTGGGTCGGCAGCGGGGCCTGACAGCCCCCGGCTGAGCCCTGGCAGTGCGAGGGGGATCACTCCCTCACACAGAGGGAGAAGGGTCACTAGAGTTTGCCTTTACTGCTTCTGATGAACTTGAACTTGTTGAATTCAGCGTTTTAAGACTGATCTTGCAAGTGCCGTGTGCCGGCAGGTGCAGGGGGAGCGTGCAAACCCAGGCAAGATTGAGCCCTTTTTCCTGGAGATCTCTGATTCCACTCCTGCTAGAATTCTGTTGTGTGTGCTGTTACAGCAGTGATTCCTCAACAGGAGGTCTGGAAACTATTTCCTGCGCAGGGAGACTTCCAGCAGTACTCTGATCTTACTGTGGTGTACTGATAGAGACTGACATAAATTAGATGATGAAATTACTCAGTCCCAGGGTCTTGATTTTGGGGGTTGAGGATGAAATACTACTTTCTAGAGTGTCTTACAGAGAGTGCAGCAGAAAGGGGCTAAAAAAATCCCAAAAGTGGCTGAAAGCTGAAGCCGGACAAATTTAGATTAGAAATTAGATATAGATTTAAAAATCTGTGGGTTTATAACTAACTTTTGAAACAATGTAGATGGTGGTTTTTTGTGTTCTTTGTCTGTCTTTGCATCAAGGCTCGATGGTTTACGTTCTAGCTGAAGATGTAAAGGCCGTCAGTGCAGGGATGTTTTCTGAATCTGTGACCTGCCTTACACCAGATGTCTGGCTGAATAATCTTTTGGTTCCTCCTGGCACCGTAGTCCATGAGCAAATAATTTTTTCCTTTTGTCTTCCACTCACCTCACTGGGGCTGTGTGGGTGCTTAGTGCTTCTGTCTTTGTTACTGACAGACCTCCTTGCTGTCTCACTGCTCTGCTGCAGGGCTCTTCATTCTCAACTTCACTCCCTTCACTACAAAAATCGTGTTTGGCCTGAAGCAACACCTACATGAACCTATTCCTGCAGCACCTTCAGATGAGAAGGTTGGGAAAGCACTTACTGATGCTAACTCTTGAGAAAGTGGGCTGCCTTTGTGAAAGATGACCCATGGAGAGAGAAGTCTGTGCTGGAGAAGGTTTGCTGGCAAGACTTTTGACCCTGGAGGGGACCCACGTTGAAGCAGCCTGTTCCTGAGGTATTGTACCCTGTGGAAAGGACCTATGCTGGAGATAGAAGAACTGTCTCCCGTGGGAGGGACCCCAGGCTGGATCAGAGGAAGAGCATAAGGAGTCCTTCCACTCTGGAGGAGGAGCAGCAGGGACAAGGTGTGATGAACTGACTGCAATCCCCCTTCCCTGTCCCTCTGTGCTGGGAGGAGGTAGGGAATGCAGGATCAAGGTTAAGCTCAGAAAGAAGGGAGTGGGAAAGGTGTTTTAAGGTTTTATGTTATTTTTCATTACCCAACTCTGATTTGATTGGTAATAAATTAATTTCTGTAAATCTAGTCTGTTTTACCTGGGATGGTAATTGATGAGTGATATCTCCCAGTCCTTATTTCCACCCATGAGCCTTTCATTATATTTTCTCTACCTTGTCCAGCTGAGGGGGGGGAGTGACAGAGCAGCTTTGGTGGGCAGAGAAACATAGCAATTTGGGGGTGTATCTCATGCTCTATCACCCACAAGCCTCTGGAAAGAATGAGAGATACAATGGGCTGCTAAAGACTATGTTGAGATCATTAGGCAATGGGGCACAGAAACATTTGATACAAATTTACCAGAAGCCACTTGCCTGGTTAACATGAGAATGAATATTAGTTTAGTGTTAAAGGACAGGGGATATTAGTTAATGAGAATGTATAAAACTGTGTATTGGGTGTAAGATGGATTAAGTATGTAGTACAAGTTGTACATGTTGGTAAGAAGGGATTTAAGTAATAAGATTTAAATGCAATGACATGGCTAGAAGATGTATATGTATTAAATTATGTGGGATCTGAGCATGATACAAATGATAGGGAATAATGGATGGAGATTGTGCTGGGTTTAGCTGAGAGGGAGTTAATTTTCCCCAGAGCAGGCCCCATAGGGCTGTGCTGTGTATTGGTAGAAAGGTGTTGGTAACATCCAGTGCTGTGGCTGTTGCTGAGCAGTGCTCTTCAGCATCAGGGCTGTCTCTGCAACATTCTTACCTTACCCAGTGTGGTGGAGGTGGGCAAGATCTTGGAAGGGGACACAGCTGGGACAGCTGACCCCAACTGACCATATGATGTCTGCTCAGCAATAGAGGCTGAGGGAAAGGACGAGGGGTGTGAGGCATTTGTTGTTATGACATTTGTCTTCCAGAGTAACTCCTACGTGTGCTGAAGCCCTACTTCCCAGGAAGTGATCAGACATTGCCTGCTGATGGGAAGTAGAGAATAAATCTTTTGTCTTCCTTTGCTTCCATGCCTGGCCTTTGGTTTTGCATTATTAAACTGCCTTTATCTTCACCCATTAACTTTTTTGAACTTGTTTTCTCCCCTCCCTGTCGTGCTGAGGAGAGGAGGGACAGAGCAGCTTGATGTGCCCCTCGTGTCCAGTCAAGGTGAACCCACCACACAGCTGTATTTTTTGGATGTTCTCAGGCAAGTCACACTTACACTGCTGACTTTTAATTTGGTAATTTGGATTTGTATTGTGTCTTGTCATAAGCTGAACAACCTGTCTTGTAGTTGCTGCCTAATACCATTGAAAGATGCCCCAAAAGATTGTGACCTAAATGACTTTTTCATCACTTCTTGTTTAACCAACCTTGTTGCTACTGTTTTCTTGGTTTTCTTTGACTCCTATACAAAGTAAAATGTGACAGATGATTCACAAAGCTCACCTTGTCCACAAAGTGTTTGAAAAATGAAAGGAAGCATATGTGTGTGTTTGTGGATGACAGCAGAGTTGCAATTGCATGAGGGGGACTTGTGTTTGATGTGCTTGAAATGTTTCTTGGTGTGTTGATAATGTGCTTCAGCATTCTTTATAGAGCTTTAAATACATAAATGCATTTTAATTAAGTTTAGTATTTAGGCCTAAAAAACAAAGCCTGACTATTTTATATTGAAAGAAAGTTCTGAGACAAAATATGATGAAATTAACGGGAAAAATTTCCTGAAGAAAGTCCAAGGAGTTAGTTTGACAGCTCAGCCTGAAGCTCTATTGGCTTGAAGAAGAAAGATATCTGTCTGAGAGATCTAAGTGCAAAACTTGGGAAAGGCAGAAGTGATTCTGATGAGAACTCTGAGTCAGCTTTGGTTGATGTTATAGGAACTACATCCTGAAAAGTGCTGAACACCTTTAATGCCATATAATTAATGTTTCATATTCTAATTAATACAGTTGGTATCTCATTCTACTTCTGTTTTGCACTGAGGCCTGAAGATCTGGGTGAACTTGAAGATCAGCACCTCTCTTTCTTTTTACAGGATTAGATCTTATGTGTGGCAATCCTGTAAATACTGGGGAACTGCAAGACTGAATGTTGTGGGACAAAGCCTTAGTTGGCATGGTTAAGTTCTCTCAAGCCAATTGATACTTATTATACCAGCTGCACCTGAGTGCAGTAACTCTTTTGTAATGGAATCACAGTAAGCTGGTTTCCCATTTCAGTTAATAACTTCTGGAAATAATGTAAGTGCTTTTTGCTGATTAGGCATACCTGACTGCTTGGAAAGAAAATGTGTGTGCAGTACATGGCAATTCAGCTTCCCTTTCTGTGCTGCATATTCAAGAGCACAGCAAAGTATTAGTTGGAAGACAAATGAGATAAGAATCGAGGTGTTGCTGACTAACTCTGGAGAAGCCAATTGTGTTGAGGTGGTGGATGCTGCTGTCACTGTGCTCATTCTGACCAACCTGCTGGGAGCAGATGCCCTTCTGTTGTGTCCCCGTCCAAATATCTTGGCAGGCTCAGTTTCAGATCTGTTCCTTCCCCCTCTGCAGACTTTTGAATTTATGCAGGCCAATAGAGTGAGAGCCTCAGTCTTCCCTCTGTGCATTTGGTTCTTGAAGGAGATTGTTCATGAAGGACTGGCATGTAAGAGGTTCCTGTTGAAATTATATGAAAATATTGTGAGAGATACCTTGAACAACCTAAACCTGAGTATTGTCTCAGCAGCCTTTGTAATGCACTATTTCTCAAAACCTTTAGATGAAAAGTGACAAGCTCTTTGCTGCATGGGTACCTCTGGCAGTGCTGTTATGATATTATAATATTTACTGAGTCTACTAAAGCCACCACTTTTTGGGTCAGAATTAAAGGAGGCTCTCATCTCTTCTAAAAGTAAAAAATGTATGTTCTAACTTCTCAAAGTTTCTAGACTTTGCTTTTATGGAGAAACATTTGAAAACTGGTCAAGCCTACAGTCTCACAAGTCCAGGAATAAATAAAAACAAATCAACATTAGTTTATTTTTTCTTAGAAAATGACTAATTCCAACTCACTTTACAGACAGGGACTTAATTCACAAAAAATTAAGAGAGTTGTGAACTGTCTAGTAATGTGCAAGAGGGGCTCTGCTACAATCTTTCTGTTATCTCTGCCTCACTCTTCCACAACTGGAGTAAAGTAATTGCTCTGTCATCCTATTTCTTTATAGCAGTTTTGCTGCTGCCATCATGGAGAGCATGTTGAGATGGAGTGGTGTAGGAAAGGTGGTGGGTTGTTCTGTGTGTATAAAGTGGTTGCCCATGTTCAGCCTTATTGATTGAACTATCAGATTGTCCCTTTAGTACACCCACTTGAATACACTAAAAATTTTATAGGAGGCATAACTGCAGAAATCCATAGCATCCATATCTGTTCTCCTAACAAATCTGTAAGTGAAGCAGCCAGTCAATAGGTAAAAGTCTGCAGTAGTACATTTCTTTTAGTGTGCCTGTTGGCACACAGCTATTCAGTAGTATCCTAGATATTTAATACAATATCTAGATACACAGAGGTACAGCTACAGAGGCAGCTGTAGTGAGGTTCCCGCACTGTTTTATGGATTGCTCCTCTGACTTGTTTTTTGGTCTTTCTAAGGATCAGAGAGCTCTGCATTTGGTAATAGAGTGATTTGGGAACTCCTTTGGCTGGATTTGTTGAGGTACAGTCTGACTGGGCTCGGGGTATTATAGCACATCTCTGACCACAGCAGTTCTGCTGCTGATTCATGACAGTGCAAGTGCAAAGGGAATCAGGTGTAGATTGTGTTCAGCTAGAAAGGTATCATAGAATAGTTTGGGTTGGAAGGGACCTTAAAGATCATCCAGTTCCAAGTCCCCTTCCACTAGACCAGGTTGTTGAAAGCCCCATCCAACCTGGCCTTGAACACTTCCCAGAATGGGGCAGCCACAGCTTCTCTGGGCAACCAGTTCCAGTGCCTCACCACCCTCACAGGAAAGATTTTTTTCAAATATCTAACCTAAATCTCCTCTGTTCCAGTTTAAAGCAATTTTCCTATGTCCTGTCACTACATGCCCTGTAAAAAAATCCCTCTCAATCTTTCTTGTAGGCTCCCTTCAGGTACTGGAAGGCTGCAATTAGGTCACTCTGAAGCCTTCTCTGCTCCAGGCTGAACAATCCCAACTCTCTGAGCCTTTCCTCATAGAAGAGGAATCCATCCCTCTAACGCTCTCTCATTCTGAACTGTGGCACACTTGGTAACAGCAAACACCTGGAGTCTGCCACTGGTGGTGTTTGTGACAGCTGCTGTCAATAACAGAGGGAAGTAACTGTTGTCTACAGCTGAGCTGACTTAGGACTAAAGGGATATTAGAAACAAAAGGACACCTGTTTGTTGTTTTAAATTGTGAAGAGTTGGTGACTTAGTTCTACAGGTTGAAAGTGTGGAAGAGATACTGGTATTAGTTACTTGGCTTCTTTATTTTATTAACTAGTTCTGAAGAGCAAAGGCTGCATAAAATCATTCTGTAGTTACCTTTGTGGAATTGGAATGGAGTGAATCATCAAAAGGAAACAACTAAGCAGCTAAGACATAAGTTGAGCAAACTCCTCATCCACATGTTGGAAACTAATTGTGAAGGATGGCACAAATGCAGCCTGGATCTGAGCAGAGTTGGATAGCTACAGTCAAGTAACCTCATTCAAGAGGAAGGTAAGTGTGAGGCAGAGAACTCAGTTCTCTTTTTCTCCTCCTCCTAGAAAATCTGTGTCTGGGTTTAGTCTGTCTTTATCCAGCAAGGTTTAAGGATATGTAAGTTGCTGTGTTTGATACCAGTGGTAACAATGGTTGGAATCACTATGGATTGAAAGTCAATGGGCTTGGGCATCTGTTTGATTGCTCTGCTGGAATAGGACAGTAGCTGTTGCTTTTAGCAGTGGTGTCATAATATTTCAGGAGCAACCTGTAACTACCTGGATTTAAGATTTCTATTTCTAAACATTATAATATTCAGTTTCATAGTACTTAAAAGAGTTTTGGTGACTGGGGGAGAAGGTAGATAGGACAGGGGGGAGAGAGAGAGAGAGAAGGAATGACCAGGGACACTCTCCTATACTGCAAGCTTGTACACTTTTTGTTGTCATATATGCTGCAGAAGAGGAGGTTCAGGGGGATTTTTTTTTTTTAGGGAGCTATTTTCTAATATTGTTTTAGTGAGAAATCATAGTATACTGCCATTAAGGTTAGTACCTCCAGTTAGAAGTGTGTAGTTTCCTCATCTGTCCCTGCTCCCCCACACATATTTGATATGCTTGGAAAGGCTTATCAATTTCTTGCAAATATTCTGTTCACACTGCTGTGATGAACCTGCAGGTTTCTTCCCATCAGGATTGTCTTGATTTTGCCATCCTGTGGCATCACCCTGTGTGTGTTCCTTAGGTGACCTCTGCAGCATCTGCTGGCTTTGAAGAGGGCTCATCATGTTGTGAATGTGAGGCAACACCTTTTCAAAAGCAAAAAAATTGACTTTTTTCATTGTCTGAAGACCCGTGTGCTGTATAAAATTATTGTTAACTCTTAGCCTGACTTTAGTCGTAGGTAATTACATCGAACTGCTTATTTCTACCTCTTCTCTGGCATGGAGAGTTTAAGGAAGGTGAACTCTGCGCTCCCTCTTGTGGTACATGTAGGGTACATGTAGAAATGTGAAAAAAGTTTGGGGAAAAGCTGCCTGTAACAGTGAGGGAAGCTGTCTACGTTTTCCCTACCGTCTTGCGACAAGATTAAATGAGATTTTTGATGTTACCTCAAACGGCGTAAAAGTAAAAGGTTTTCTGAGGCCAGAACACAGCCCTGAAGCAAACAGCTTTTTACAGCAAGACTAAATGTTGTATTATATTGTAGCTTTCCAACAGTCAGGGAAGGCAGAATGGTGAAATAGAGTTACATATATGCTCTGTTGATTGATTTTTACAAATGCACGCAAAAGAACAGCATTTGCCTAATGCTAGTTAAAGTTTTTATGCCACATCCTGTAGATCTTCATGCCACTTGATGTATTTTTCCTTTATATGTTATTGAGTCTTCTGCGGGTTTGTAATCCAATAGTAGAAAATGCATTCATTTTGTGATCTCTTAGCTTTCTTGACCTTACAGCATAAGAAGTATTGACACAGATGTTCAAAGATCCTTTTCGCATAGCTGGAAATTATGTGCATTTTTACTCTAGAAATGAGGAAAGGAATAGTAATAAAGAACTACACCCCAGACTACTGCAGGTTGGTGTATGCTCTGTAAAGATCCTGTGCTTGCTTGGACTTCATAATTTTGCTTTAGATAATGTACTTTTTTTCTGGAATTGTTTATGCCCCTACAGAAGAATTTTTTTTTGTTGTTTTTAAAAGGGAGCAGTATGCAATGTCATCTGGGGATCCAGGAGCCTGGTTTGAAGGGAGACTTCACTGGCTGTGCCTGGTTGGCTTCATGTCTTTGCCATGGGCTGCACATTATTGGATGGATATGTGTGGAGTGCCCAGAGCCTCCAGCAGCCCCAGGCACTCTGCAGTAGTGAACTGGTGCAAAGCCTGATCTTGAAGATACTGAGAGGCAAGTGAGGAACGTCAGGTGAGCAGTTTTGTTTGTGGTTACAGTTGATGACTTGTGTTGCCCAGTTATAGAAAAAAAGAAACAGGTTTAGCTCATTTATACAGAACCTAACAATAGAATGACTGCCTCTTTGTCCCAGTAATAGTTTGTGTTAAGCAATGATTTCATCACTGCCTAAACAGTGGTATACCAGGCTAATAACATCCTGAAGGTTATACCATGACTTCCCCTCTCTGTTGGCCATAATTATATCTGTTTAATGTCTTCAACTTCCAATATCACCTATAGTCTTGTAAATAATACAAACCTTTGGTGTTTGCTAGTTGTATGCGGATTTTGAAAAGGTGGTTGTGCTGGTTTTGGCTGGGATAATTTTCTTCATGTTATCTGGTATGGGCCTATGTTCTGGATTTTTGCTGGAAACAGTGTTGATAATTCATAGATGTTTTTGTTCTCACTGAGCAACACTTACCCAGAGCCAAGGCCTTTTCTGCTCCTCACCCCACCCCACCCCTGAGGAGTCTGGGGGGGGCACAAGGAGCTGGGAGGGGACAGAGCTGGGACAGCTGATCCCAACTGACCCAAGGGATATCCCAGACCATATGGCCTCATGCTCAGCATATAAAGCTGGGGGAGAAGGAGGAAGGGGGGATGTTTGGAGTGATGGTGTTTGTCTTCCTAAGTCACCATCATGTGTGATGGAGTCCTGCTGTCCTGGGGATACTGAACACCTGCCTGCCCTTGGGAGGTAGTGAATGAATTCCTTGTTTTGCTTTACTTGTGCACATGGCTTTTGCTTTACCTATTAAACTCTCTTGATCTCAACCCATGAGTTTTCTCACTTTTACCCTTCTGGTTCTTTTTCCCATCCTACTGGGTGGCTGTGTGGTGCTTAGTTGCTGGCTAGGGTTAAACCACAACAGCAGTGAAAGATTTTAACATTAATGAAACACTCTGATTTTGATGTGGTTCACTTGGCAGTTCCCAGCAAAATTGCTTTGCATTTCTCTTTGCTGCGGTTTAAAGAATTTGAGTTTGCTGCAGAAAGCTTATGTAGATATCTGTAGTTTTACTGCTGGTAGAGGAAAAACCATCCAAGGAAATCAATAGTTGCTTTATCTGGATTAGAAGCTGGGCTTTAGGCCTAAAGTGCTCTAAGCAATGCAAGCATTGAGTGAACCACCAGGACTTTTATTTTCAGGGAGTACAAGCTGTTGTAAATGTGCAACACCCTGAACTTAAATATATTCATGTTACATGTCAGTCAAACATGTTATCCAGGGTGCACTTAAGCGGGTAGGTGTCTCTTCTGATATTTTTCCAAGGTGTGGCTGTCATGATGCTGGGGATCTGCAGAGATATAGAGATAAATATTTCAGTGGTGTAAAGTTTTGCTTAATGAGGGGACATGTCTCAAAACATACATAAGGTCTACTGGAGTATTGATAGCTCAGGTAACCCTCTTAAGCACTTTCATTGCGTGAGCAATAGAGGATGGATGCTTAAGCAGAGAAGTGACTAAATCCAGAAGTGATGGATGAAAGATCTCACAAGGAATTGGTGCAACAAAACACAATGAAAGATGTTCTTCTTAATTGAAAAAAAAAAAAATCAATGAACCAGATTGAAGTTAAATAGTTTATGTGAAAAACCTGTCTCATGGGCTCTGGAGGTGTGAGCTGCTGTTTGCCATTGTGGTGCAGTCGTTTCAGTACTGTCAGTGTTGCAATGTGCTGGTTCCAAGTTGAAGCCTATGGGACAAATCTGTTTCTTTCTCTTCATCATTTAATGCCTCAATGCTGCTAGCACCAAGGCATTTACACCTCAGGGGAAAGGTGCCAAGTGGTTACAAGAGTGGCCTGTAAACCCCTGAGGTTACAATAAATAACTGGTAGCATGAGTTCTTGTTTGTGTGCTGTCTGTCTTGGAGCTGTTCAGGATACACCTATACAGTCCACTGCTGTCAGTAACTGCAAGGAAATGTCACTTTTTCCTCTTTAAAATGAAAACCTGAGACTCTGATGGGATCATGTGAGTCTAGTAATTGTGTCTTTAAAACAGACCTGTGAAATAATGCAGCACTTGTGGTGAGTTATGGGAGGGCTGATAATACTTTAAGCAAGGGCTCTGTCTTGACTCTTGCTGCCCATTTCCTTCTGAACCCTGTCCTGTACCCCTCTCATTCCTAGTACAGAAAATAACATGGTTTTTGTCCCCCAAGTAGCTCGGTAAAACGGGAGGGTGTTGCAATTATCAAGAAATGAAGCAGAGATTTATTTTTATATTAACCTGCAACATAAATATCTTTTATACTGTTAGGCTATTTCACAGTTCTCATTAATGGACTAAACTTGCTAGTTTGTCTCTTTATCATGTTGATAGACCTGTTAAATGAAACCCTGAGAGATCAGACAATTTAGTCCCGTGGCCAGTGGCAGCTTTTCACAGTAGTGATTTCTAGCTGGGTTGTACATGCCAAATGTCCAGGCAGCTTGTGCTTATCAGCATCCGTTATACTTTTTGTTGACTTGAGCCATTAATAACCTGTCAGATTAGGTAATTAGGCTGTCTCTAGTAGCCAGGGGAAATTGTTTTTCCCTAACTGATGGTATGGGTTGTGCAGCTGTGCAGATAAGCACTTGGTCAAACGGCAGTTCAGGCGATTTTTAACTAGCCTTGCTGATGAATGCAGAAGTAGTGCTGAGACATGAGGGGCAGATAACAACAGAGAGACAGGCATGAAGTAAAAGGACCTGCCACTTTCAGAACTCTCTCCAAATAAGACAATGGTTACTGTTCTGATTCTGCAAATCTGCTGCATGTAGATTTGGTAATTGCAATTCTGTGATGGTTTTATAAACATTCTTCCATCCTCTCGAATTAAAAGTCATCCTAGACCTGGTGGAACTAAAGGGATTCTCTCTGAGGTGTTGTTCTACCCCTGTGAGTAAAGCTGTCTACTGCTAGTACTCACTGCTGCTCTGAGATTCTCTTTGTGCAGTGACCTTCTCTCTTTGGCACTGATGGAGTCTGTTGTGCCCAGGAAATGCTTCAGTGGTTAGTAGGTGCAGGAAAGGTCTGTTTATTTTGTTGAAGCCAGGATCCCAGTTCTTAGGTGAATGACATTTACCTATTTCTAGAAGCCATCAATCTTCAGTGTGAAAAGGCTGAGTGTTGTGACAGCATCCATCAAATAGCTGTGTCACCTCAGTTACGTGAAGGCTTTCTGTCAAAATAGACAAGAAAATGAATTTCCTGAAAAGCCATTTGGGTTCCCCATGATTAAGTGCTTAAGTTCTTGAAGCTTACTGTATTTGAGCCAACTGGTAAGGTGGGTGCAAGGGTCCTAGAGGCTACTTTGTTCTGCAAGATTGGTAAGGGGAATGAATTCCTGCACAAAAGGGTGTTTTAAGATACCATTCCTCTGAACTGGAATGATGTTGGGAAGGGAAACAAACCAGCAAACAAATAGTGATTCCCCAGCCCTAATTGTACTGATGCTGACAGATTCCCACAGAGGGCTGTGAGATGGGAGCAGGAAAATATGGTCAGCTGCCCAGTCTTATCTACTCAGGGGGACACTGAGCAGATTAGTTGTGCTTGGGTGCAGGG